ATGTCTATCTGCCAGATCTTATAATCATAGTGTGCTATAATAGCTAATAGAATTCGGATAGAATTTAGCATGACTACAAGTGAGAAGGTTTTGTCATAGTCAACACCTTATCTTTCCATCTACTCTGATCTTCTTCTTGAAGATCCACTTATAACCAATGGGTACAATACCCTTGGGTTCATCAACTAGGTACCAAACTTTGTTGGAGAATATGGAATCCATCTCAGAATTCATGGCTTCTTGCCACTTCCCAGAGTCTATACTCGTAATAGTCTCTTTGTAGATCTGAGGATCAATATCCTTAACATCCTCTCCTTTAATATGTCCTACATATCTCTCAGGAAGATGAGATACTCTATTGGACCTATGTAAAGTCGAAACTTTGTGCTAGGTACTTGAATAGACTCGGGCTGTGGAATGGTGCTTGAGCTAGGTTCTCCAACCTCGCTCAACTCTATCATGCTCCCATTGTCTCCGCCAAGAATATTTTCCTTCTCAAGGAATATCGCTTTCTTGGCTACAAAGACTTTTTGGTCCTCGGGATGATAGAAATAATACCCACTAGTTTTCTTAGGGTATCCCACGAATATGCATTGTTTTGTCCTGGATTCCAATTTATCGGGGTTGTGTCTTTTGACATGGGCAGGGCAACCCCAAATCTTAACAACCTTAAGATCGGGCTTCTTCCCTTTTCATATCTCATATGAAGTAGACACCACTGATTTAGTTGTAATTCTATTCAGAAGGTAAGCTGCAGTTTTTAGGGCGTATCCCCAGAATAAGATGGGGAGGTTGACGAAACTCATCATGGACGCACCAAGTCTAACAGTATGCGATTTCTCATTTCGGATACACCATTGAGCTGGGGTATATAAGGAGGTGTCCACTAGGATAGAATCCCTTGGTCCTTGAGGAACTGGGTGAACTCTGTACTCAAGTACTCACCTCCTCGATCTGATCGAAGAGACTTGATACCCTTTCTAGTATGATTCTCCACTTCATTCTTATATTACTTGAATTTCTCGAAGGCCTTAGACTTGTACTTCATCAAGTACACATATCCATATCTTGAGAAATTAGTAGTAAAAGTAATAAAGTATGAGTAATCACTTATGGCATGAGTTGACATGGGACTACATACATCACTATGTATGAGTTCCAGTAACTCATTAACTCTCTATCCAGTTTCACTAAATGGAGAGTTGGTCATCTTTCCACAAAGGCAAAGCTCGCAAGTTGCATATGACTCATAGTCGAATGGATCTAGGTATCCATCCTTTAGTAACTTTTGAATCGTTCCCTCATGGATATGACCAAGCCTACAATGCCACATATATGTACTGTTCATCTTATCTCGTTTCCTCTTTGACACACTTACATTCGTGATATGTGGAGCAGTGTCAAACCATTATGCAATGTTCCTTTCATGATGATCTCATCATCTAGTAATAATGAACAACTATTATTCTAAAAAACTAATTTATATCTACTAACTGTCAAACATGAAATAGAAATAATATTTTTGATAATAGAAGAAACAAAATAGCATGCATCCAATGCAATAATAGCTCCACTAAACAGATGTAGGGTGACCTTGCCAACAACCACTACAGCAACCTTTGCTCCATTACCCATTTTGAGATCCATCTTACCTCTCACCAATCTCCTAGGTCCTGCCAAAACCTGCAACGAATTGCAGATGTGGTAAGTACTATCGGTATCCAATACCCATGTGTTATCATAAGATTCTAACAAATGAAGACTGATCATGAATGTACCTGAAGCTTCTCCAAGCTTCTATTTCGCCCTCTCTACAAGGTACATTTTGTAGTTCTTCTTCCAATGCCTATCTTTGCCACAATGGAAGCACTGACCTTTATCCTTTGTTGGGTCTTTCTTAGCAACATTTACTTTACCCAATCTGCCCTTGACCTTGCCCTTCGTAAGGGACTTTTCTGCCTTCCTTTTATTTCTGGTCTCACTAGCAAAGAGAACTAGCCTCTCTTTCTTAATGGTGCTCTCTACCTCCCTCAACATATTGAAGAGCTTAGTGAGAGTCACCTCAAGCTTGTTCATATTAAAATTCATTATGAACTAAGAAAAGGAATCTGGTAGGGACTGAAGTACAAGGTCTACAGGTCATCCTCTAGGACCATTCCTAGACCTATGAGTTTCTTTATCCACTCAATCATCTTAAGGACATGGTTCTAAACTGGTATCCTCTCAGTCATCATGGCAAGGAAAAGACTTTTGGAT